TCAAAATGATGACTCAATTCTTGAGGATACAAGTTAGCAATTGTGCAAATAATCATGATTCCATAGAACTTAAGACTGAAAGTAGTAAATAATAAATAAATGTTATCTTATAATTAAATTTAAAATTTAAGTTTGACGATTAATATTTAAAGAAATTAATTTATTGATAATGGAAGCTGCTAAGGAAGCAGATGCCACCATACCTTTTGTGGGAACGGATTTGTGCACCGAAGCTGAGAGCTTAGATAGAACAAACCTTTACTTAGCTCGTTGTCAAACTCAATTGATCAATCTGTTAATAGTTGGAAATGTAGTAATTCCCACGTTTAGGAAGATTAAAAAATTAAAAGAATTTATATATATATACTTTATTTATAAATAATTCTGAGAAGTTAAAATTTAAAAACCTACAAAGTTTATACCTTGTCTTAGAAATAAATAAATAAACCATTACTGAAAACTTCTCCTCCTCATTTGTCCAAATGGAAAATGAAATATAAATTGAACCAATTAGGTCCCGCCTGGCCTGTTTGAGGAGAAGGCAGGTTTTAAGACTGTCCAATTGCCATGTAGAATTTGCTACTAGCATATGTTTAGTCTGGACTTCAAGAATAACACATTTTTTATTGCATAAAGAACAAGCTCAAGCAACATCAAAAGGACCAAGAAAAAAAAAAAAAACAAGCTAAGGCAAATAGTTTTCTCTTATGATGAGTTTAAGGTTTCTAGACGCATGTTTTGTCCAAATGGAAAAAGAAAAGTAAATTGAAGTAGTTAGGTCCAACCGGTTCGGGAGATTGTTTTGGTGTTAGAGTGAGTCCACACACGTTTTTTTTTTTTTTCCTTAACATGCGTTTTGCCTGGACTTCTAAAATAACACATTCTTTATTGCATAAAGAACAAGGTAACGCAACAGAAAAATAAAAATAAAAGGAAAAATAGAAAGAGAACAAGTTAAGGCAGCTTAAAGTTTTTCTACATGCTTGTTAATTTGTCCATATGAAAAAGGAAAAATAAACAAAAGCACTGTTATGGCCACCAGCATTATTAACAAAAGCAAAATTCATTAAAAGCAAAGCCTACCCAAGAGGAGTGAAGAGAAAGTGAGTACCTGAGAAGGAGAAAGAGGGATGATAAACACTCTGCTTGAATTGAAGAGGATGATTTGGAGTTCTCAGGCGAGTTCAAAGAGGCAGTGAAGAAGTGTACAAAACTACAAATAGAGCAATTTAGTGAAGAGCCAAAAGACGATATTCGGCTATTCAACGGGTAAGAATTTATTTAATATTATGAGTATTAAATAAATAAAAAAAATTAATAAAATTGTACAAATATTGGTACAAAAACTTTTCCTTAAATAATTTTCCCAGTCCAAAATAGGTTTGCTGACGTGGGGCAGCTGATGCGGTTGGGTTTAAGCTATTCATTTTTAATTAGTTAGTGGTTGGGGATTAGTTAGCAGTATAATGATACTTATACACAATAAAAAATTATTTAAAATATTTTAATTTTCACTTACATGAAAAAGAATTATATTTAAAAAATATAATTACTTTCCAAATAATTTAATAATAATTGCTTGTATATCGAAAAGACCCTACGTTGCACTCGTGGGCGGCTAAAGAAATAAAAGATGGCTGCTGCCTGCAGCCAAAAAAGAAAAAAGAAAAAGAAAAGACACATAATTACTGTCTTTACCCTACGTTGCAATCTTGGGCGGCTAAAGAAATAGAAGATGGTCAACTCGTGCAGCCAAAAAGGAGAATTAAAAAAGACACATAATTACTGTATTTTCACCATAAATAATACCTAATCAAAAGCAACGAAAATTTTTGAGGTGGAGAAAGCAGGTTCATCAATGAGCTAGCTAAGGAGGTATTTTCTGGCCACCAGCTGCAGCGGCGGCGACGGTGGTAGTTGTTGTATAGTTTAAAAGTGTTTAAAAGTTCAATAAACACTTAATTGCAAATATGCAAGATAGAATATAAACTAGATAAAAAGACACATACCGTATAAACATGAACAAGATAGGAAGGGACATGAATGTCTAAAGATGATCAAATGACTTTACCAAAAGTGCCTTTTTGTTTGCATTTGTGTCCGATGGAAATAGCCATTCATTCTATATAAACGAGAGGCATTAGTCATTTGCAAATGTGTATTAGTTAGTCATTCCTTCACATTTATAATTCTAACAGGGTTTTCGAATTTTATTGCATTCTTGAGACATTATGGTATCATAAAAATAGTAATATCACACCTAAGAACTTCTTTCTTTTCCTTTGCTTTTTTGTTCCAAAACAATTTTTCTAACAGTGGTAACGAGCGTCGACTGATCTTTATCAGCCGTTATCGTACAGCAGAAACTCGAGCTGATGAATCCCGGTTTAACGTCCCTCAGTCTGGGGTTTATGCTATTTCCGTATTTTGTGCTGCTCTTTCCCGAGGAAGAGGAAGAAACACAGGCCCAAACTAGCACGGGATAAAGGCCTCATTCTGTTTTTTTTTTTTTTTGTAATTGGGCCTAATTTAAGGCCCATGTAGCCTTCCATGAAGAGTAGAAGATGGAAAACGCCAGGGAAATTTCCAATCGCTCAGAGATCGGAGCCGCGCCGGAAACTGCCATTACTTCAGTTTGAAGACGAAGGACTTCTATCGGACGGAAAAGCTAGAATTTTGTGAGGGTAAGTTAGCAGATCTCTTCGTAAGATTCTGCAAGTCGCACTCTTTTTTTACTGTTGGTTCCCTTTTCGTGTATTAACTATTTGATCTGGATTCTAAATTATAGCCGGCACCTGTGAATCGTGCTCAGAGGCTCAGTGTCTAGAGAATTTGGGGCTAAACTTCTTTGAAATGTGGTTAATTTTTTACGGATGGGTATTTGAATTATGGGCTTTTGTAGGATTTTGATAGGAGCCATGGAAGGGCAGCTCCCAGATATTAAGAAATGGGTAGTGTTTTACCATGTTTATATAAATTCGAAGAAAACTGTAGCTGAAGGGAGACGGATTAGCTTGAGCAAAGCATGTGAGAATCCTACTTGTGTTGAGATTGGTGATTGCTGTAAACATCTCAAACTCCCATCTGTTCTTGAGGTTTGTTTATGGATTCGTTTTGCACTTTTCTTTGATCTTGCTTGGCAATTATGGCAATTTCATATGGTTAGAAGATTTATGTTGTCCTGCCTCATTGGTCCATACAAGTTGTTGCAGCAAGATCAGCTGAAGAATCAATGTGAGTGCCTACATGCTTAAGATTGTTCCTTTAATTGTTTTAAATTACAATGTCAAATTTCTTGAACTAAAAGAATTGAAATTTCTAAGGATGTTATGGTGTTTGCTCTAAATGTGCATAGAATTTGACTGCAGTCAGACTTTGTAACCTATGTGTTTGTTATGAACTGTAGCTACCCGGAAAGGTTTAGGGAAGCAAATCTATATCCATGAATATGCTTGATCTGCAAACCAAAGCCATCATATTCAAAACCTGAATATGTTCCCTGCTTGCCTACTTCAATTCTCCTGTGTTCTCACTAATTGTTATCTGTTACATTAAACCAGTAGTGCTTGTTATCATGACTCCTTATGAATTTTGCTATGGGAGATTGATAAAGGCATATCCTCGTGACTTCATGCAAAGAGGGAGAGTGTGAGTATCGCTGAAAAGGGAAGATGGGACCTTATACAATCCAACCATTTCTCCTAGTATAGGATATTTTCTACTTGAATTGTTCCTAATTTCTATTGCATCTTGAGATAGTTTTCTTGCTTCTCGTGACTAATTTTGAATCATATGTGTGGATTTCATTATTATATTGTTAAATCAGAATTGTTGCAAGGGTGCACAAATACTTACTTCTTTGGATTCAGTTTCCGTACCCTGTAAGTGCTGGTAATATTCCATGTCGGTTAAGATCAACGTGACCCTAACTCTAAAGCACGCTTCGTACGCGAGAGTTCGACAAGTACTGCCTCAATAAATGAAATGTCCCTTCCTAGACAATGCAGTTAAAAAGTTTAGCTGACTAAAGCAGTCATAGCCAGTATTTTGTCATTTGGGGGTTTACTTTCCAAACCAATACAGTGGAGTTGAGTAGAAAGAACCACCAGATGTTGGTGCAGAAGTTGGTGCAGAAACTCGAGCTGATGATACGGGAAGAAAGCCCTCTCTGCTCTGGGGTTTATGCTCGCTTCTCTGATCAGAAAATTGGAAGAAATAGGCCCAAACTAAAAGAAAATAGAGGCCTAATTTGTAGTCAAAAGGCCCAAAAGAAAGAAAAGGACTTTTATAGGCCCAAAGGAAAATATACAAGCCATTCATGTATGTATTCAGAATACATAACATGATTTTTTTTTAGTTTTTTATAGAATGATAGAATATACCCAATAGGAGATAGCTCTCCTTTTTTCAAACCCTTAACACACCCACATAACCTGATATCACCATCTACAAGTACTCAAACAGGTAAATAATTGATCTAGAAGTACTCAAACAGGTAAATAATTGTGTGAACTTCTAAGTTCACTTATTGCCAAAGCCCATAACAGCAAACGTAACATATGGTTTAAATGGAACACGACTTTCACTCTTGATACCCTACCACCACATTCCTGCCTTCATTAGCTAGAGAGGAGCTTTACCATACTTAATGAGGAAAATGGTAATCGAGAATTGAATATACACTTTGCTGCACCGTAAGTAGAAGCAAGATAACCGCAGCAATGATGGAAATTAACCCCCACGGAGTGTTAACGTAATTGTGCCTAAAGTTTGCCATCCACCGGTGTGTCCTTTTTCTGCAATGTTTGTTCACTTTGTTGAACATTTCTGAGTAGAAGCAGTCATCTTCGGCAATCAAAACAGCATCACAGATTCTGTTAAATATGCCAGCAATCACTTCATTATCACCTAACCTATTTTCAATGACTTCATGGCGACGGAGTAATTCAACATCCTTCCCTGTGTTGATGAGGCAATCCATGAATCTAACATAGTCTGTGAAGTGTCTTGTATATATGTCCTTGTAGCACTGTTCATAAGCAACTAAATTTCGAAGGATAGATTCTGTATCATCAACAATTTTTAAGGTTGGAATTGACATTACCCCCCTTTCAAAAGTTATATCGAATAATCTATCCTCGATCTTTTTAAACGTGATCCCTGCCTCGTGAAGCTCTGATGCAGAACCCATCGTTTGCCAATCGTAATTTTTTTCTTCATGACCTTTTGGCTTTACCTTGCGTAAAATTGAACACTGAAGATGATGATTATCTTCAATAGCCCCTTTTGAAGACTCTCCGGATCCTGCTTCTGTCTCTAAAGGGAGCAGAGACTTTTCTTCGTCTGATTTCTCGGGTAGAGAATATCTTACAAACGACTTTGCACGCCTCAAGGGCACCCATTTAGACTTGAGTTTCGCAGAACTTGCTGACTCTAAACCGTTGGGATTAGCATTCATAAGATGTGAGTCAGAGGCAATCCTTGCAATCCCTGATGGCTTGGTTGTTGAAGAACTTGCTGACCTAGGTGAACAGGTTGCCTCAGTTGGGGGAGGATTTACTCCCTTCGGTGGTGAAACGCAGCTACCATGTAGTAAGCCCAGTAGATGCATATGCTTGATGCGTTGGTGATTCTCAATTTTTTTACTACAACGTCCTGGCATTATTCTGGAGAAGCAATCAATAGCCATATGCATGAAGTTCTGATCTGCTTCATTTGACATCTTAGTCATGTCAAACAACTTCTGAGTATAAAGAAAGGAAGTTGATTTTCAATTAGCAACAGATCCCGCATTACTGTTCTCAAAATAAAATGTGTAAGAAGATGGTCGTTTTTTTTTCTGAATTCCCCCGAGGCACTCTTACGGATAAGTTCAACGACAAAGCATCCATCAAAGAGCATCATCTCTACAAATTTATCTTCTCCATCCTTCTGATTCGGGGATTCCGAATAATATTTGAGAGCTCCTTCTTTAAGACCTTCCAAGGCCTCCACATATTCCTTCAGAGTCTTGTCTTTATTTCGTTCAATGAGCATGTTTAGATAACGCTTTTTGTGCACTTCCATTGCCTTCAAGTGATCTTTACCACGGTGGTAAGGGCCAATGGAAATCACTTGAGGTTCATAGGCCATTTCATTTATCTTCCGTAAATGATTAGGCACTCTGAAAATACTACACCTTAACGAATCTAATGAAACAGGAGCTTTGAGCTCTTCAGCTATTCGAATGTAAAGAGCTTCGCCCCTTCCAACCGCCATCTCCAGCCTAACAAAATAATAATAATAATAAATGATTAATGGGGAAAAAAACTAGAAAATAAACATATTCACATTTTAAGTGAAAAGAAGAAGAAGAAGAAGTGGTATATTCAAAGTCTAAAAACTTTAGGTAATTCCAAGAGGCACTGTTATGGCCACCACTACAAAACACTCGCCGACTGGACCCCGCAAATTAAACAATGAACAAAATTCAAGATTTAATTCATATGAACTACAGAAAAGATTAAAAAGAACATTACCCTAGCATACAAAGTGAAAAACACAGAATCAAAAACAGATCTACAAGCATAAACTAAGTAAACCAAGAGGGATTCGAGAACCAGAAGCAAAATTCATTAACAAAAGCAAAGCCTACCCAAGAGGAGTGAAGAGAAAGTGGGTACCTGAGAAAGAGGGATGATAATCTCTGCTTGAATTGAAGAGGATGATTTCAAGCCCTCAGGCGAGTTCAAAGAGGGAGTGAAGAAGTGTATAAATAGAACAATTTAGTGAAGAGCCAGGTTCGGGTGAGGTTGGGATGTAAAACTGTGGGTGAAACTGTGGGATCGGGTGAGGTTGGGGTCTGAAACCGTGGGGTGGAAGGCGAGTTTCCCGGAGGTAGCCTTGCTTCTGGAGGGAAGTAGGAGTTGGTGGTGGTTGTGATTGGGACGAACGCGTTGTGTCTCCACTTGATGGCTTGACAACAGTTGTAATTGATCATGTGATATACCAGCAAGTACGTGCCAATGTAAAGTGCGTGGATAATTCATTGATTTTCTAAGCAGTGAAAGCTTCCAAGCAAGCAGTGGGAACGGATTTTATCACTTAAGGTGAGAGCCTAGATAGAACAAACCTTTACTTAGCTGGTTATCAAATTCAATTGATCAATTTATTAATAGTTTGAAATGTAAAAAATTTTACATTTAAAAAAAAATTAAGGAAAGAAATGAAGTTATATATGTTTATTTTTTATTTATAAATAATTATAAAAATTAAAATATAAGGCCTTTAAATTTTATGTTTTATTTCCTTATATTATCATTGAGACGAGCACTTAGTTACTTCCATTGCCTTCAAGTGATCTTTACCGTGGTGGTAAGGGCCCATGGAGATCACTTGAGATACAGTTAAAACATGACCTGGGACCTTTCAATTTATTCTATTTCAACTGCCATCAACTAATAAAAAAAAAAAAAAACAAAAGGAAAACCAATCACTGAAAACTTCTCCTCCTCATTTGTCCAAATGGAAAATGCAAAATAAATTGAATCAATTAGGCCCAGCGTGGTTCGGGAGAAGGCAGGTCTCAGGATTGTCCAATTGCCATGTAGCACTTGGTAATGTGTTTAGCCTGGACTTCTAAAGTAATACATTTTTCATTGCATAAAGAACAAGCTAAGGCAACATCAAAAGGACCAAAAAAAAAAAAAAAAG